AACCAGACATCACTAGAGGTTGTTTTTTAAAATACAGATTCTTGAGTCATATCATAGAGCAGAGGCAGGGCTCCAGATTATTTATCTTATTTTAACAAGCAAACCAGGTAATGTTGGTTACATAGCCATGTTTAAGAGCCACTGAAGGCTAATTAGTCCAAAGCAAAGCCAATCAAATAACACTGACTTTCCTCCCCTCCTTGCTCTTCAACCATACTTCATAGCATCTACTTTTCAACTATTATCCAACCTTTTCTGCCACCATCTGATACTGCCTCTACAATTCAGAGTATAGAAAAGTATAGTCATACTTGTACTGCAACTGAGTACTCTCCAGAATACCCTAATACTCTGCACCAACCATATGGTAGCAGCCACGCACATATCACACATTTGAAAGTATGTTCTCTCAAAAACTAAAGAAGATAATGAATTAACAAGATTAAAGTCAGGTAACTGTACCATCCCATAGTCTTTACAGAAAGAGTCTGCTTCCTGTCATACTGCTAGACACATAGAAGGTTATTCCTATTTTGCTGTTTTTCAGGATGAAATGCACACTAGGCAATTTTCAACCACAAATTATTTCCAAGGTTTCTAAAAAACATTGAAAGAAAAATGTACACCTGAACAAGCATGTCATATATGTTTGCTACAGTCATTTAAATACACCAGTGGAATAATTATTTATTTCTACCATCAAAATCCTATGTAATTTCTCTTTAATAAATCTAGCTGGCATAGAAAGAACAATTACATTTAAATGTGTTTTCTGCAGGTGAGAGTATGCCAAAGTAAGTAAAAAAGTATTTCTACTAGGGTTCCAGTTCATACATGCATGGGCTTATATGAAACAATATGTGTTTAAATGTATCTCTGCAATCATCAGTTGGATGCAAACAAGATCTCTCAGTTAATACTCTTGTCCTAATCTCATCAGAAGTGGCCTTTAAAAAATATATAATTTTTGTACCATGGGAAAAAACAATTTTGAGGTCAGGACTAATATCTAATTTTAAACAAAACTCTAAGTACATATTTTCCCAAATTATTAAAATTTTCAGCAAATTCATGGGAATGCTGCCCCACGAGACAATCTTCAGATAGCTGAAATGCTTTTTAAAAGGTTGGGAATAAGGAAGAGACAAGCCAGTCAGGGTGCAGAATAGCACCGAGGAAACATACAAATTCCCTCTAGTTCTTTAATGCTTCCTACCTTGGTCCCTATTATCATGATACCAATTCTACCTTACAAATCCGGCTAAACCAGAGCATGTACATGGGTACAGGTAAGAGCTGGAAACACAGGGAATCCAGGACAGATAAACCCCTCAGGACCAATAATGAGAGCAGCAATATCAGGAGGGGGAGGGGAAGGTGGGGGGAGAAAGGGGAACCGATCACAACCATCTAACTATAACCCCCTCCCAGGGGGATGGACAACAGAAAAGTGCATGAAGGGAGACATCGGTTAGCGTAAGACATGAAAAAAAATTATAAATTATCAAGGGTGACAGAGGGAAAGAAGGTGGGGAAGGGAGGGGGAAACTGAGGAGCTGATACCAAGGGCTCAGGTAGAAAGAAAATGTTTTGAAAATGATAATGGCAGCAAATGTACAAATGTGCTTGACAGAATGTATGTATGTATGCATTGTGAAAAGAGCTGTACAAGCCCCCAATAAAATGATTTTTTTAAAAAGGTTGGGAAGTTGTACCAAGAGCAGGAAGACTATCAACTTAGATACATGAAAAAACTAAGATGGAAATTCAGAAGCTAATGGAAAAAATTGTAGAATTATCACTGATGAGATAGCTATTGAAGGTGGGATCTCACCTGCTTCTCTATTTCAGGTGAGCATCTTGGCTCAATGTGTGCCAAAAATGTTGCACAAAAAACAGTTAGCTGAGTTATTTTTCCATCAGTATTTCAAGCAGGAATCAAGCTAATAAAGGAGATCCAAAGCACATTAGTAGGCCACTGGAGATCCCCTTGCAGAGGGGTCTCGGGGAGGAGATGAGCCAGTCAGGGTGCGATGTAACAATGATGAGAAATACAGCCTTCCTCTAGTTCCTAAAGGTTTCCTCCCCGCTCCCACTACCATGACTCGAATTCTATCTTGCAAGACTGGCTAGACCAGAGGAGGTACACTGGTACAGATAGGAACTGAAAATACAGGGAATCCAGGACGGATGAGCCCTATAGGACCAGTGGTGTGAGTGGCAAAACAGGGAGGGTAAAGGGAGAATGGGCAGGGAAGAGGGAACCAATTACATGGAACTGTGTGTGACCTCCTCCCTGGGGGACAGACAACCAAAAAGTGGATGAAGGGAGACGTCGGACAGGGCAAGATATGACAAAATACCCATTTATAAACTATCAAGGGCTCATGCGGGAGGGGGGAGCGGGGAGGGAGGGGAAAAATGAGGACCTAATGTCGGGGGTTTAAATGGAGAGAAAATGTTTTGAGAAACGATGTACAAATGCGCTTTACACAATTGATGTGTGTATGGATTGGGATAACAGTTGTATGAGCCCCTAATAAAATGTTAAAAATAAACAACAACAACAACAACAAAAAAGTATAAAATTAAAAAAAAAAAAAAGAATTTTTATAAAGTGATAGTTTTACAGAATCATAACCAGACATGAATCCTGGATTTACCAGTATGTTCCAGAGAAGAAGGTACAATCAAAATAGCTGGACCAGTTCAATTCAAGGCAGAGAGGTCAGATCAGAAGGATAAAGCAACTGTTCTAAGGGACTCCAGGGGAATAATTTTAATAGATTTTTCTCAAAGGACACAGGGTGATCATGGGAGCTGATGAGGAGGATGTTCTAAGAAAATTGAAAGTTGCATTGGGAGAAAAAGCCAGGAAATTTGCATTTGTTTGATAAATTTGTTTCTATCATAATGTATCTACTCATTCTTTGAAGGCAGGCAAGGTTTGCCTAGGAGCATTTCATCAGCCCCACCCTACAGTCCAGATCTTGCCACTTCAAATTTCTTTTTGTTTCTAAAATTCAGTATTAAAAGAACACAATGGAAACTGATTATGGTAACAATTGTATGATTCCGCTTGACGTGACTAAACAATGTAATGATATGTATTAACTTCCAATTAATAATATATCAAAAAACCAGCAAACATGATTTGCATCCTCAAGGATGTCAAAAATGATGTTCTGACATGGTGTAAATAAAGAACAGTTTTCTTCCGGGAAGGGCTGGAGTGAAGGGAAACATCACCTTCAGAAATGTATAGACCTAGGTGGAAGATATCTCAAGAAATAATTACTTCACATTTTGAAATTTTTGCTTAATAAAGGTTTCTATAATTTTGTAGCAATCTTTAAAAATTTAACTTTGTAAATAAATAGATGGAACAGAGAAAATATTTGGCATATATAGGGGACAAGAAAATAGTTCACAGACTGTTAGGGAGCCCTGGAGAATTGTATAAGAAAGGCAAAAGAACAAATTCACAGATGAGCTTGTGAGCCAGGTAGAAAACTTACACTTAATGCAACAGAGTGTCGTTTTTTAAGTGCTGATTTCTGGAAAGAAGTAATGAAAGCAAGAATATGGGGAGGTTTACCAACCAGATAATGTGGGAGAGAGGAAAAAACTGAAGAGAAATCTATAGGAAAATTAACTGGGAGAGAAACAGATGCAACAGAAGTGAAAAGAATGGATAGGGAGGGCACTTTAGCCTTTACTTTTGGCTACTGTTTTTCACAGTAAACATGTTTTAGTACAAAATAGTCACTGGAAAATTCTTTAAAAGAGAAAACTAAAGTATACCAGGTGACACACACCACCCCCCACATCATTCTGTATAGAGTATGCTCTCTCAGCTATTTCACAGATACACCTATTGGTAGTTAGAGAAAATAGCATCACAAATTGTATGTGATGTAACTTTTGTAACCTTTTCCATTTAAAACATTGTGGTCATCTTTTCAGGTAAACAAACTAGATCTACCTTCCAAGGAACTGGTTCAAAAAGATAATGTGGAGTCAGGGTTCATGCCAAACTCTTAGGGCTGGGAGACAGAAGTCTGGTTTGCAGTAAGAAAGAAATGGCAGTTTTAAATTAGCTCATTTTTAAAATGTGCATCAAAAGAGAGGAAGCATATGTGTGATTCAAGAGCATGGAGCTGAGTGAATAGTTAGGACCAAAAAGGTATCAAATAACAAATAGTTATTGAACATATACTATATGGACTACAAAAGAAGCCAGAAGGTATGAGTATATATTGAAAAGGACAGATAAACTAATAATTACAAATGTGAAAAGTTTTACAAAAGAGAAAAAAAGTTCTAGGGGAGCTACTAATAGGAGCCAATCCAGTTCAAGGGTGAGAAGAGTCAGGAAACTTCCTTGAAGTGACAGTTAAGTGCAGACTTGTAGGGTAAATATAATTACCTCAGTGCAGTAGGCGAAGTAAGCATCCCAATAAGAAAGAATGAACAATGGGTATACAGTCTAAAGTAGCATGCTGCTTTCACAAAACTGAAAATATGGTTAAAGCACAAAGAAGATGATGAAGAAGTCAGGAGACGGGGCCAGAGAAACAGGCAAAAAAGATTGTTATAATGTAATAATAGCTTTTGAATCCTAAGAATACATGGAAAGTACTTTACACAGGGCTTGACAGCAAAATGCTAACATTTGTGTGCATGTGCACACATGTGAGTGTATGTGTGTATACAAGTACATGTTCAGGTACCTGAGTACACACATGCACAAATATGCATTGGTTACTAGGAAGTTAAAAAAAACCCTGAAAGCTGAAACATTCTTGAAGCAAAAATGTTAATATTTATAATCTCTTAGTTGTAGAACTAAAATTATAGGTGCATTTTATGTTTATTGTTCATAACTCTCATAACAATACTCTCAAGGATTCAGCAATAAGCAGTACCTATTTCAACAACTAAGAAAAAACTATTCTAAAAGCATGCCTCTGCCCTAATCCCCACTTTTTTTTTTAAAGCAAAGATTTCTTCTAGGAACTACCTATCTTTGACCGAAAAGCAGAAGAATAATCCAGTGGAAAAGGAAGGAAAACTCCACTACTTTTATAAAGAAAGAGCTCTATGGAAACGAACCACAGCTGTGGGGATGACAGACAGAAATGGGCTGCAGGTCCAATGGTGGAGATGGTCACTTTGGAGGGCAGAAATATCCTCCTCTGAAAATGAAGCTGACCAAGGAAATTCCAGTCCACTCTTGTTCCTCTCGCAGGCTGCACCTCAAAAGGATTCAGCAGGGCATTTGTAATCCTATATCCTGAGCACAGGACCTGGCATAAAGCAGAAACTCAGTAAATGTTTGTCAAATGAATTTTTGTTGTTGTTGCCTATGATTTCTGGCACAATCGGAACTTAGGAAGTGGTCTGCTCCTTGAGCCAAGTAAAGGACATCTTCAGTCATCTGTGCCATGTTCCAATAGCATAAGTATAATTGTAATAACTACCAGATCTGAGGACAAGCCTATTTGATAATACTTGCTACTGAACTCATGAACTTATACTGTAGCCCAGTACAAGTTCTCTCTCTGTTCTTTAGACTAAATCTCCTGAAAACAAACATAATCAAAATCACATGCCCTTTTCTCTTCTCTTTTTGATAAATAGCTAGGGTAAAACAATAGAGTATAGATGGTTTGTGATATGGAGCAGAAAACCTTAAGTTCTGTTCTCCCATGTGATGGTTTTATGATCTGAGACAAGTCATTTACCAAGAGTGCCTTAAGAAAAACCAAATCCACTGCCATGAAGTCAAATCCTAATGCATAGAGACCCCAAAGGGTAGAGAGTAACTGCACCATTTTGTTTCTAAAGTTATAATCCTTACAGAAGCAGATTACCACATCCTTCTCCCATATAGCTGCTGGTGGAACTAGATGTTGTTTGGGATGAAAAAAGGCCTTTTTCTACATGTGTCATAAACCTATTGTGAAATTTCTGTGTCAGTCTTGACCCTGCATCCAACAGAACGGAACACTGCCAGGTCATCTGCCATCTTCACAGTTTTCATTATGTTTGAGCCATTATTGAAGTGTACCATCCAGTCCCTTGAGGTTAGAAAAAAGGAATTAAAAGGTAACAAAAATATAAACTTTACTTTTCAACATAAGCTACATACATCATTGTGAGCAATGATACCAACCCTGTAATCCATCCCTAAAGAACTGAGGGTCCTGAGAATTTAGCCATGTCAATGCAGTCTTTTTTTTTTGTAACTGGCATTTTATTGGTTGTTTGAGATCAGTACAGAGACATTATGAACAATTTGTACACAATCCTAAATGCATGTACCAAAATCCTAAAATGACATGTAGGTAAAATTTGTTTCTAAATTCCAATGACTTTCCAGCTTTAAATTTAGAGGCAAATTTTTAAAAAGAGATTATCAAGGACCATTGTCTTCAAATGCTGGTAAACTAGTACATCTTAAGTCCCACTAATTCACAATTCAATGTCACACATACTACACACTCAAATGTTCAATCCTTCACAGCACGTAACAAAGTTCTCAGGAAAACTGGACTACCATGACCAAAGGTTTTACAGAACGCACAGTTCTGACGAGAGCCATGATGACGGAATGGTTTTCAGACACAATTCTATTAAGAAAACAAATGTAGAAGCAAAATTTTAAATGTTCAAGTCATACATGACAGTGGCTCCAAATTGCCATTAAGTATGTTTTGTATTAGGGATACAAAAACGTCCTCTCATCCCATGGAATGTTATGTTGACACCCAAGACAGTCAAATCTTCCCACAATTCAACATTCCACTATTTTCTGGTTGTACTAAAATTAAAAACCAGTAAATGATTTCACATCTTTACAAAAAGCACTTACACTTAGAGAAAAAGGGATGAATTGGGATTTCCTTCTTCTTAAAAATGTTGCTGGAGCTACTAAAAAACTTGCATTTACAAAATAGTTAATAAAAATATTCCTCTGGATTGTACAAGAAGGGATAACAGGGCCCACTGATAAGACATGATAAACATTAATCAGACTTGGCTTCTTTTTCTCCCGCTGCAGAGGCTGGACTCTCCTCGTTTTTCATTTCTCCATTTTCAGCAGGTAAATCTTCTTTAGCTTCTTAGTTAGCTACTTCAGCCTGTTTTTCCTTTGCTCCTCTTTTTCCTTTTGCTTTCACTTTTTTGTCCGAAGTTTTATCCTTTCCTGGTGCCAGCGCAGGTTTCGCTGACAATCTCTCCCTCCTCTTCAGTACCTCCATCACCGCCCCTTAGGCCCGGTTGACCTTCCTTTTAGGTTAATTGGCTGTGGGGAGGGCGCTTGCAGGATACCTTCGGACCACGGGGCATCGAGAGCCTTCTAGAAGCTGGATTGCCTGGCGGGGCTGCTCTGCCCGCCACCCTAGCTGCTAGGACCCACGGCATTACTACTTCATAACTGTAAATTTGCTACTGTTGTGAATCAGGCGAACCCCGTGAAAAGGTCATTTGACTCCCAGAGGGGTGGCGACCCACAGGTTGAGAAACATTGATATAGATGGTTGCAGACAAGTTCTCTAAGTAACACACTTGTCTTAGTCTTATTAGGGTTCCTCACACAAAGAAGAAAAAGGTTCATTTTCCACCATACTGGAGCTGGTGGAGGTGGGTGATCCTTCAGTTGCTGAAAATTTGGGGACCTGCTGGGAACAGGACTTATAAACGGCAAATGTCTGGAAGGCTGTGGTCCAAGGCCATTTTTGCTGGCTATAAACGGGATCTATGGAACCAGGGGGAACACACAGTTCTCCTTAAAATTGAAGGTATTTACACCCCGAGATGAAACGGAATTTTATTTAGGCAAGAGATGTGCTTAGGTGTACAAAGCAAAGAACAATACAGTGACTCCTGGTGGCAAACCTAACAAAACCAGAGTCATCTGGGGAAAGGTAACTCATGCCCATGGAAACAGTGGCATGGTTCAGGCCAAATTCCGGAGCAACATGCCTGCTACGGCTATTGGACACAGAATCCGTGTGATGCTGTACCCCTCAAGGATTTACACTTAAAAGTAAATAAATTAAATTGTGCATTTGTTAAAAAAAAAAAAAAGAGGTTCAATTTCAACAGTGGCTTCCAAGGGTATATGCTGGGCAAGTTCAACTCAAGGCAGAGAGGGCAGATCTGTAGGAAAACATTTGCCATTTCAACTATTTTTGTGTGTATAATTCAGCTGTATTGCAATCACTATCATCAATTTTCATTACCCAAAGTTAGGACTCCCTTCAGCAATAATGCTCACTCCTTCCTACCCTTAACCTCTAGCACCAAACAATACTTTTGTCTCTTTGCTTATTTTAGGTATTCATGTAACACACTCACAGAATTGGAAAAATGGGATCATATATTGGTCATTTTGTGTTTTTACCTTCAGCATGTTTCAACATTCGTCATTTGAGCATAATTTGCTCAAAGTTCATGCATGCATCAGTACTTCATCTTTCTTTATGAATAATATTACATTCTATGTATATATCACATTTGTTTATCCATTCATTTGTTGATTGATACTTGAGATGTTTCTATCTTTTGGCTATTGTTAATAATACTGAAGTGAACATTGATGTACAAGTATCTGTTTGAGCCTTTGCTCTGAAGTGTCTTCCATATATGCCTAGAAGTAGAACTGGTGGGTCATTTGATAATTTTATGCTTAACTTTCTGAAAATCCACCATATTATTTTCAACAAGCAGGGTCCTTCCCCATTTTACATTCCTACTAGTAATATCTTCATCAACACTTGTTGCTTTCCTTCAATTTTTTTCTGTTAATAGTTATTTTCACACACACACACACACACACACACAATCCTCAAACTCACTGTCATCAAGTCAATTCCAACTCACAGTAAACCTACAGGATGGAGAGACTTGTGGGTTTAAATCACTGGCCTTGTGATAAGGAGATCAGAGCATAACCTACCATACCACCAGAGCTCCTCTAATAGAGATGAATTGGTATCTCACCATGGCTTCGATTTGCATATACCTGAAATCAAGATGCATTGATAATGTTTGGCAACTGGAGTGTAAAAGGTGGAAGCAAAGAGAAACGAACAGTAGTTGGAAAATTGGTGTTGGTGATAGTAATGAAGTTGGAGACTGAATGATAGAATTTTGCAAGAAACAGCCAGACCAAATCCAGGTATACATATGGTAGCCAACTAAAAAGGAGGAGGAGAAAGAAAAAAAAAAAGAAATGGGCAGCGGGGGAATAGGGCACTAACCCACTCAAGGGGAGGGTATTGTTTATATCTCCACAGGGAAAGCGGGACCAGACTTCAACCTGGTGCTCCAAGATGTGAATGCAACATGCCAGCATGGAGTAGGAAACCAGTGGAGAAGTGTGAGGGATCCCAACTATATCCCGCCAGAAGAATTTATTTCAGAGGACAGCACTGAAGCTGCAGCTCAGGGAGAGGGACATGTCTGATCAGAGCACATGGCAGCAAATAAAGGGGGAGGAAGAGAGAGTGGAACACATGCTGGCCCACCAAGTCTTGACAACGATATTCCCCGCTCAGAGCAGCCAATCCACAGAGAAGACCATATGGCCAGTCCCACTATGAGACATGAAGTCCCTGATTGACCCATAGCCCTACAGGGGACAACACTGGATACACAGTGTGGGAATCCCGCCTGATCTGATCCCTCCACACCACGGCAAAACACTAAGGGCATGCAACAGAACAGCAAGGGGAACAGAACAACGAAGTCCCCAGGGAAAACCAAAAATAGACTTTGAGGCCAGGGCTTGACATCCCATCAGACTGGACCAGAAAACACTCCTAAAGGGCCTTGAACTAACTACAAGTTTTTCGTTTTTGTTGTTGTGGGGGTTTTTTGTCACTGACTTTTTGTTGTTGTTGTTATTGTTTTCTTTTGTTGCTTGGTTTTGCTCTGTCTTGCTTTTGTGCATGTTATTATATCCACATGTCTGTCTAAATAAGATAGGCTGGATGAACAATCTGGAGGAGAAAACAATGGGATGAACAGTTCTGGGGGGACATGGGAGAAAGGGAGGTGGGGGAAAAGGAAGTGGTGTTAACAAACCAAGGAACAAGGGAACAACAAGTGATCCAAATCTGTGGTGAGGAGGGAGGGTATAGGAGGCTTGGTAGGGTGGGATCAGGGTAATGTAACTCAGAGTAATTACTGTAACCCAAATGCAGGCTGAGCAGATGATAGTGGAACAAGATGAAAGTAAAGTGAAATAGAGGAAAGAGCTAGGAGGCAAAGGGCATTTATAGAGTTCTAAATAAATGTACATATGTAAACATATATATATGAGGATGGGGAAATAGA